TTTGAAAGATTCTGAAAGAAGGAGCTGACATGAAGACAACATGAAAACAAGAATTCCATGAGGTACTTAAAAAGGTATCTAAGACGTTTAGTTAAACCGAATGTAGTTCTGTCCAGCAAAAAACAAACAAAAAACATAGGTTAGCAGTAGTCCAGAGAACCAAAATTTTACTTGGGTTCTGCCGCTAGGCCGCCAACAAGGTATGGAGGAAGTCAGTAGCATTATTACTTCATGGTATATATGGTTTTTTCCTCACAAGTGAAGAGTAATTTTCCTGAAGGCAGGGACAATATTCATTCATTCAGTTATTCATACATTCACTCATTTAACAAATATTTGCTGAGCAAAGCCACGTGCTCCATTCTGGAAGAAAAAGGTGAACAACACTATCATTGTCTCTGCTCTTATGGAGCTTACAGTCTAGTGGGTGAGACGATAAAAAATACATCTATATATATAAAAGCCTAAGCAACCATTTGACCGTCCGAGTGGTAGCTATGACGTGCAATGACCATCAGAGGACAGACGCTTCGACTAGTAGCTATGATGCGCACTGACCACCAGGGAGTAGATGCTCAACACAGGAGCATCTGAGTTGCGGTGACTTGGCAGCTGCGGTTCTCACCGGAACCAGAGAGGGGGGAGCTCAATTCTAGGGTGCATCACCAGAGAACCGCCCTCTCACAATCCGGGATCCCTCAGGGGATGTCAGACTGCCAGTTTCACCCAATCCCCGCAGGCCAGTCTGAGGGACCCCACCGGTGCACAAATCCGTGCACTGGGCCTCTAGTCTATAATAAAGTGGGAGAAATTCCACGCTGAGAGGAGAGATAGCCATGCAACTAACAAGCAGGGATAGCTAACTGTAAGGAGGTCAGAGGAAGCTTCCTGAAAGAAATGATGCGTATGCTAAAACTGGAAGAACAAATTGGGATTAACCAGAGACTAGAGAGCTGGAGGAGAAAAGTAGTTTTCTAGGCACATGAAGGAGCCTTACAAAAGGTCAGCAGAGAAAAAGACATGCGATTTTAGAAGACAGGGGCCAGCTCCAGAATTGCCTCTGAGAGAAATGGAAAGCCAGTGAATGTTTTTAGTGAAGGAATGAGTGGTCAAATGTGCAGAGGGGAGAGTATATTGGAGGAAAACAGAACTGGAGGCAAGGAGATCGCTGTGCGTGCCAGGTGTAGTCCAAGAGAGGGATGAGGATGCCTGTAGTGAGGCTGGGGGAAAGGGCAGATGTGGACCAAAGTCCAAAAACATGTAGGAGGCAGAACCAACTGGGCCTGGACAACTGGATCTGGGGGAGAAGAACTCAAAGATGCAATCAGATAAGGAGGCAATGGAGCATAATGGTTGAATAGGAGCTCTGGAACCAAGCTGTAATTCCTTTTCATCTAATTCCTGGTGTAGGCAGCTGGTATTGCCACTTCCCGAGAAAGAGAAGGCAGGAATAATTTTTTAGGGGATAGAGAGAAGATGAAAAGATCAATACTTTGCACTCAATACATTTTAGGGTCACATCAAATGTGGTCACATCCAATAAGCAGATAGATATATAGTTTTGAAGTTGGGGTCTGTTTGGGAATGTTAATATGAATATGGGGATTTTATAGGAGAGAGAGAATAAAAACATCAAGAGGGAGAGGAGTCCGGCCAGCATGGCTCAGTGGCTGAGCATCGACCAGGAGGTCATGGTTCAATTCCCAATCAGGGCACATGCCCAGGCTGCAGGTTCAATCCCCAGTGTGGGTCATGCAGGAGGCAGCGATCAAAAATTTTCTCCCATCATTGATGTTTCTATCTCTCCCTCTCGCATCCTCTCTGAAATCAATAAAAAATATATATATACTTTTTTAAAGAGGGAGAGGACCAGGATCCTGAAAAACGAACTGTTTTTGGCATTTTTTTTTTTGTAAGCCATGCAGTGTCTTGAACATGGTAGATGACAGGTACTTGTTGGCTGTTACTAATGACCTTGATGACTGGGGGGTGGGAGGGATAATCTTTGCATCATCTAATATATAGAAATAGGCTAAGGGTAAATGTAATACTATATATAAGCTATAAGCTATTTCAGATAAAAATGTAAATATTGATAATACTATATTCAGTTATTTTAAAATCCATTACTTTTTTCTTATTATAATATTAAAAGTACTCATTTTTAAATAACTAAGATTATAAAAACATGTAATACAGAAAATAAAAGTCTTGTTATTCCCTCTTCCAGAAAAAAAAATAGGTCTATATTGTTTCAATGTGTATGTGTTTTCCCATCAAATAACTACAAATTGGAGTTTTAAGAAATGGGGACATTCTCCATTGTTATTTAGTTTTCATTGTGACAGCATGAAAAAACACACCCGTAATTTAATCATTCTCTTCTCATGAGATATTCAGGATATAGAGCTAAAGCAGATTAAAAGGAGAGAAATCAAATAACTTGCTTAGAGAGAAATTCTGAGAACTAAAAATTTTAAAGTCATAAAACTCTAATAGCTCCTCCAAGATTCTAGATTATTTTTAATGACTTCCTGTTAGCCAACTATATATCAAAAGTGTTTAGCGCCTGAAGTTTAGGTCTAAGAAGAGCCAAACGATAAGTGATAACCTAGAAGAAGGGCAAAACAATGAGCCATAGTCGACTGGCAGGGCCAGGCTGGTGGTAGAGCCTGATGAGTGGCAGCTGCCAACAACATCCCTTTCTCCACCCTCAGAACCTCACAGTCGTGGAATAGGAGCAAGGGTACTGGTCAATTCCCTTCTCTTCTCCCTCCACTTACTATAACTACCCATTCTAAGGATGGCACTATTAGTAAACATCCATTTTAACTGAAGTGATTAAAAATTTTCGTAAAAATAAATAGTTCTCTTCCTCCTTACTTAGAAGAATCACGTAGAAAGCATGTAAATGATTCAGTTAAAGCATGTAATTGAATTGACAGCGAGGTGCTTTTTATAAGCAGCAAACTCTGATGTCTACTTCAGCTAGTGCTGGCTAGCCACATAATCCCACTGCCTTTTTCCATTAACTTTCAAGTGACGTGATGGAAGAAGCATTCTGTTCCACGCCTACTTGAAGGTAACTTACGTCTGACCCTGCAAGTCATTTTAAAATGCTCTCTCTCCATATTACAGGACCATACATAAACTTTAGAAAGTTCTGAAGGAGAGAAGAAAGAAAGAGTAAGGCTTTAATTTCTAAACTCCTATCTGTGCTGATCACTTTTGGGCACTACTCCAGGTAACATGACTGCCATAAAAGATTTACACCAAATAATTCAGAAGCAACAAGGACAAAACTCAAAACCACTAGTACAGAGAACTGTCTAAAAATAGGAGACTAGAAATACACGACTTTGAGCTTTGATTCAGCAATAGCTCTTTCAGAAAACGATTCTAAAAAAATAATTAAGGATGTGTTGAAAAATTTTGATGAAAAGTATTAAGCTCAACATTTTTTGTCATAGAAAAAAACGTAAACAACCCACATACCTACTAGTACATTGCACTATTCATACAGTGAGATACTATGTAGCCTCTCCAAATAACATGGAGAAGCTTGCTATTTATTAAGAGTGGAAAGATTTTCATGGTATCAGTGGTTAGTCAAAGCAGCAGGTTGCAAAAGATATGAAAAGTATGATGCTTATTTCTATACACAAGTGCATGTATTTTGAAATAAAATAGGTAAAATAAAAACATTTACCGTTTCTTGATTTGAGATCTCTGTGAATCACCTTGACAGGAGCTTCCATATGTAAATAGTGCATTCCTTTTTATGCAGAGGGAAGAAAGGCCCATTAATACTGGTTTTCAACTCTGTATCAATATCAATATTACCTTTCTATTTTAAGCATCAGCAGTAACATTCACATTTTGCAAAGGATTCAATAAAATAGAGGGAAGACGTGTCTACGTGAGGCCTGATAAAATAGAGACAAGATGTGTCACGTGAGGAAAATTCATATGCTAAGGAGGACGTATGTGCTTTGATCTCTTGGAAGTTGGAATTTGATTGTGGGTAAAGCTAGCTTCTTACAATACCTAATAAGGGCACCTTATTTTCTGGAGTCTGCACGAAAATAGCACAGTTACAACTGGAAGAATTGTTCCAATGACTAAGGTATTCCACTACCACTGCCTTCTAAATCGGTAAGTTCTGACCGAGGTGTTCTGTTTTCATTTGGATGTCTCCAGCACCCAGTTAGTTGCAGCTTGGCTTATTTTCCCAGTGCTCATTCCAGTGAGACCCTGGGAGGGGAGGTGGGGCTGTGTGTGTGTGTGTGTGTGTGTGTGTGTGTGTGTGTGTGTGTGAGAGAGAGAGAGAGAGAGAGAGAGAGAGAGAGAGAGAGAGAACTGGCTAGATTCCTTAGCTGTGATTGCTAAAGGATTTTATGATCCTCAGATAGAAAAAAATATATATAGTAGTTACAAAATATTTTATCCTTCTTACAAGAATAAATCTTTGAGATAATCTATATTTATAGGCACTCCAAATTTTTCTTCAACATGTTTAGAATATAAATCAAGTTACTTCAGTAAATTGGATCCACAGAAATTAAAGAGTTTTATTGTTTTGAATAAAAAATTATATTTTGAAAGACATATTTCACACTTACCCCTTTAGTAGTATTTGACTCATTTTTTTTGTACTTACGTATTGTCTACCCCATTAGAATAAAGATAAAGAACATTTTCTACGGAAAATTCCCCTCCTTTTATTTCTCACTCTGTCTTTTCTAAGTAATAAGAGAAATAGCCCCTCCCCTTTCCAAATCAGACAGGCTCCTTTTTGAAATAAATTATCCGTTAAATATAATAGGTTTTGGTTCTTTTTTAAGTACACAGAGAAGTTCAATTTTATAAAGGTTAATTGTAAAAATAATCTATCATGTTTCTACTAATCTGATTATTACATATTGAAGAATTATGAAAGAACAAAGAATATAAGAGAATTTAAACTCCTGCCATATAAAGATATTCCTGAAAAGAGTCAACTTAACAAAAAAGTATTACTAATTTAAATGATGCTAAACACAATGTAACTGGAATAAAGGAAATCTAATAAGAAGTTCTGCATACTACAAACTGTGAAAATTCAATAGCTACAACTTGGGTAACTTTTAGTAATTTTTATGACTGCATTTCATAGTTCTCTCTTTCTTGCTTTAAGAATCAAATTCCTGAATTACTGTTTTCAGGTAGAACTGGTTTAATTACTATTAGAAATAGAGCTAGACAGTTTCTACACTTGTGACAAGTAAGGATTTCAAAAACAACACTCAAGTACATAAGCTTTAAATATTGGCACTTTTCTCCTCATGGCAGATATTATGAAAAGAAGTAGCATAAATTATTGTGTATAATACACAGCACACACTTACAGAATATTCAGTGTTCATAAACATGGTAGTAATCACAATCATATAAAATTCTATTTAATTTGTTTTTACAGTGCCATCTGTAATTCTGCCTTATTTTTATTGTAAACAATTAAGAAGGCTGAAAATACCTTCATCGGTTTTTAAGATACAGGGTTTCCTAAAAAAGATTTGACTGGTGTCATTTGGGAGAGATTTGGAATCAATGATGACCATTTTGAGTCTGGATGTAGGTTTATCTGCTTTAATTGTTCTCTTACACAATGCTCATTGACTTGCCAAAGTTTCAGATATACTTGCTGGCTTGCCCTCCTCCACTCCTCTCTCCACCCCTCTTTCCACCCCAAAAGAAGAGCATCTTTTGGGTTTTGAGAGGCATTCTCTCTGTAGTGATGCTGCAGTGCCTATGTCAAATTGCATGAACCAACTCTTCCTTAAAATGAATTATTCGTTCTCTGATTTCTCAGCATCTTGTTACTATAGTGCCTTCAATCTTGGTCAAACTGAAATTTGACAAGCTGAATTTGTAACAGAATAAATGAAAATCAAGCCTTCCTATTTAATCTCCAACTTCTACATATAGCTTTATCGGAGAGCTCTGAAGTCATTCCAATAGCACTGACGTCTTCTTCCTTTTATAGCCCATCTTAAATAGGAAGTATGACCTGTAACTATAAACCAACAAGTATCTTGTGCCTCACGCTACTGAGCGTTGGCCAAGCACATTAGAACTCGCCTTTTGCATCAATTCACCAGCCACAGAAACGTGATCTTATTACTTTGTAGTTTTGGACACTGTCCCATGATCCACGCCCGTTCTCTACATCCCTGTTCTCTGCCTTCGGTTCCAGTTTGCTGCTTAGTCCTGTTTCTTCTCCTCTTTGTCCCCTGACATAGAGTGCCGGCGGTCTTGAGAAACCCCAGGAATGACAGGTGATCTGGAGCCGAGGGGCCACCCCTCAGACAGGGACTATGCAGGGGAAGGGGCCAGGAGGGACGAGGTTTACAGGCTGGGGGCCTAGCAAGCTTAAATAGAGTGTGCACAGCAGGAACCAGAGTGACTGATGTCAGCTGGTTTATTGGCTGTCTGTCCATCCTAAGTGCCATTAAGTAATAATACAGGTGTTAGAGGCTGAGCTTACCCCTAAATGCAAATGTCTGTAAGGTGAAGTGCTTTAAGTCAAGGACTGCTTGTATAGGTACTAACATTCATGTCAGTGTATTTCCACAGTGTTTCAGGCAGTTCCCAGTAATAAATAACCCTGCTCACAAACAGGCAGTCCCCGTGTACTCCTGACATGCAGAGAAGTGACTGTGATGTTACATGAAAATGTCTTGAAGAATGTGAAATTTTAAGGCGGATCGGAGATGCCTGATGCATGAATACACAATTAAGTTAATTAACACAGCCAAAGTCTTAAGTACACCATCCTAAACATAAAGCTTACTGTTATTATAATATAATGAAATGTCATTTAGCAGCAGCATTTAGCATGAAACTTAAAATTTTTTTTCACTTTTCTTTATTTGAAGAATTTGGCAGGTGGTGATGAAGCTTAAAACAGACAAGATATTTCCCCAAAGGAAAGACTATTATTACTTTTGGAAGTCACTGTATGACTTCCCAGCTTATAGAATCTGGAGTAACAAAACTCAAAGGAGTTAATTGCCCAAGTAACAGGCTTTCTAGAGGTTGCTAGAATACAAATATAACTGTCAGTGTTCATTATTTAGATTATGTTGTTTCCAAAGCAACTTTGACAGTTATAAATAAAACTCAGAAATGTTCAGTTGGGAAAATGGAAAAAAAAGATAAAAATAAATGGAATTTAAATTGCTTCAGAAAGCATTAGTGTATGCAAGAATTTATGAGGGAAAAAGAACTGGGCACCTTGTTTAGAGATTTTGTGCATTAAAAATATATAATTTCCAAGGGTGACTTCCAAGTTTACATTAAATATAAAATAAAATCTGAATTGCTTGTACATGACAGCACAAATCACAATTTTTTTGCAAGTGGTTACTATTTTTAGCATATTACTATGTATACAAAATGAGTAGAACTAATCCTATAATAAATCATGTTTTCTGGATACTGAGTCTAGGTCTCTACTTGCAGAACAATAACAGGATTATGATCTTTCCACTTAATGTGTCAAGCAAGCTCATCGATTACATTGGTAAAAAATGTGGTAAAAATGGCTGTTCTGGAGACACTGATTTTGTGGGGACTTGGCTTGAGGGAAAGAAATAAAGTAAAAGATGGAAAGAGAGAAAAGGAATGCGTGAGTGGAAAGGCAATGACCTAAAATATTATCTATACAGTAAGTTGCAGAATTCTTGCTCCTTTTGGTCTAAAAAAAGAACTTATAAAAGACATAGAATAACAAATCTTCTGACTTAAGTCGCCATGTCAGGATGGGACATCCGCCAATTCTGCAAGAATTCATGAAGGATTAGTATTACCTTTGGCTACATCGGTGGCCCAGGTCATAATGTGTTCCATGTCCATCTCTTCACTTCTGTTGCTGTTAATGTAATCATACAGTGATCCCAGGGAAGCATATTCTATTTTTAATGGAAAGATAAACATTTAATTAAAAATAAGGGGGCATCTCATAAATAAACCTTGATATTTTCATTGGGGAGATGTATTAAAAACTTAACAAAAGACATCAAAAGTATATAAAAATATACTTTTCTAAAAGTGTTTTCTAAAAGTATAAAAATATACTTTTCTGAAAGTGGTTTCTAAAAGTTAGTCTTATCCTGGAAAAAAAAAACTGTCTAAGACAAGCACTACCAGAATGAATAATCTCCAGCCAAGGACAAAATCAAAAGTCACTTAAATGGAACTCAGAAACACAAAAGTGTATTGGAAGAATGTACTGGAAGCAAAGGCAGACAGGTGAATAGGTATTTCTTTTAAAATGGTTATTCTTATAAGATAGATAAGACTAAACACAAGTCAAAGTTTATATGACAATGTAAATAAATCAACCTTGCTACGCCAGAATTTAGAACAGCCCTTAAAATTTAGCACAAATGGCCAAGAAAGTGAGACAATGCCTTAAAAAATGGCTTTGAGGTGTAAATTACATACCATAAAATCCATTCACTCTAAGTGTACAATTTGATGATTTTTAGTAAATTTATATAGTTGAGCAATCACAACCACAATCCAATTTTTAGAACCTTTCCATCATTCTAAACTGTTCCCTGTGCCCATTTACAGTTATTTACCACTCTCATTATCTACTTTCTGCTTTCTCTGTGCCTTTTCTAGATATTTCATATAATGGAATCTACACTATAAGGTCTTTGTGTCTTTCTCTGTGTTCTTTCTCTTCACATACTGTTTACAAAGTTCATTCATACTGTAGCACATATCAGCACTTTATTCCTTTTTATTGCTGAATAATATTCCATTGTATGGATTTACATTTGGTTTATTAATTACCACTTGATAGGTATTTGGATTGTTCCCAGCTTTTGGCTATTATGAATAATGCTGCTATGAAAATTTTCATAAATGTATTTGTGTGGAAATATATTTTCATTTCTCTTGGATAGATTCCTGGGAATGGAATTCTGGGTCATATAGTAAAGTAAGTTTAACTTTTCTTGTAAGGCAGGATTGCTAGCAACAGATTCTTTCATTCTTTATCCAAGAATGTCTTTATTTTGATTTCATTTTCAAAACATAATTTTTATGGATACATTTTTTTTCCTTTAGCACTTTAAATGTTTACTCCCTTTTGGCCTCTATTGTTGTAGATGAGAAGTCAGTCATTAATCATATTGTCATTCCCTTGTACATGAGACATTTTTTCTTGCTACTTTCAAGAATTTTCACTTGGATTCTATCAACAGTTTGCCTATGATGTGTCTAGTGTGTTTTTTTGCCTTTATCCTACTTAGAGTTCATTAAGCTCTTCAAGTATGTAGAAAAATGCATTTTATCAAATTCGGCAAGTTTTTTTGGCCATTATTTCATCAAGTAGTTTTCTATTTTTTATTTTTATACCATTCTTGCCTTATTTCTTTGCTTTATACATTAATTGGTATACCTGATGCTGTCCCATATGTCTTTAAGTTTCTGTTAGTTTTTCTTCAACATTTTTATTTTTCAGATTAAATAATTTCTATTGACCTAGTTTAAAGTTTGCTGATTTTTTCCTCCTATCTCAATTATGCTAAGTCAATTCTAGTGAATTTTAAATTTCAATTATTGTCTTTTTAAACTCCAAAATTTTCACTGAGTCCTTTTTAAAAAAATTTCTATTTGATGAGATTCCCTATTGGTATTGTTTCACACTTTCCTTTAATTCTTTAAAGTCTCTTCTAGTTCTCTGAACATTGATGCTTTGATATTTTGGTATTATTGAATCCAATGTGTTAATTTAAAGAGGCAAGGTTAGTGCTATCATCCCCCAACCCATCTAGTTTCTCAAACTTGGCTCAGTTAAGTACTATTACCCAGGCACAGAGTATGACTAGATCCTAATGCTGCAGAAGGTTGGTTGAAAAGTTCACATATTTTTTTGGTAGGTACTTGTGAACAAACAATTAACCTAGCACCTGTAGAAACAAAGACAAATTAACACATTTTTAACATCAAAATTTGGCTAAGATAATCAACCTCATAGGTCAATAAAAGAGCTATAAATACACAATTTACAATTATCTCACAATTTTGAAACTTGCATTGTTTTAAAGAAACGATTATTGTTAATATTTAATGTTACTTACTGGCCTTACAGGTAAACAGGCATAGATCTAAAAAGAACTAGTCACTGATAACCAAAGATTTGGGGTACAAATAGGTATGAGTAGAGAATATTAGAAGGGTTCATGAAATAAAGGACTGGCTAGTCTATTTTTTAAGAAAACCACTAAATATAATCAAACATACTCATCCAATTACTTGGATTCTTTCTCCCTCTTTTGGATGAGAAGACCGTTTGAACATGCTAGCTAAAAATGACTGTTCCATATCCTCCTAGGGACTGAGAGTAAACTCTTGGAACAAGGATTCACATCATAACCCAAGTCTTTTTTTTTCTACTCTTCATCCTCATCTCAAATGAAACTAGGAAACTTCCTGAATAGTCCACCGAGTGAGTTCAAGTTAAAAATCTCATCCTCAAAAGCATTAAGCATGAAGGGCACAAGACACAAGCAGAGCTTCTAATCTCTTGGAGCATCATGCTATCATCTACTAGATAAGAATAATTTCAGCTACATACGAGGATCAGAAAACTGGGTTCAGATTTATAAGGTAAACACAACCTGTAAAAAAGTAAATACAATAGACTAGGAGACAAAGAGTAATATGGGAACTGGGTCAGACACAGGGTTTAATTTTAAATTAGAAGTCTGGTCTACAAGGTTAAGCATGGCTAAGACACTAACAACATAACCCTTTATTGGGTATTCAAGTTAATAGAAAAAATATAAGCTCAAGATAAAAACTGCCACATACCTCATTTTAGGCACAGATCTAAAGATAGCTAATTGGGGATAAAATACCCACTGCTTAAGGTAAAAATACCACTTATCAGAGTAAAATCATGTTAAAATGCCTGCTATCAGAAGATGGAAATAACAGCAGCCAATCCCTTTGAGTTTAAGAACCAGTATAATCACAGCTTGCACATAAGAGGAGGAACTTCTGTACAAGATCAACCTGAGAAATTGCTACCACTGATTCTACCACTAACGGTGACCTTGGCAAAGTTACTAAAGTTAAAATTTTAGGCTCTTATTTGTAAAATGAAAATTATTTTACCCATCTCATAGGGTTATTGTAAGTATTAGATGAAATAACTGATAAGAAAATACCGAATCCAATCCATTTCATTGAGTGTGTTTAGTTGTTACGTTCTTACCACTAGAGTAGAAGATAGAGCTAATTTTTTAAGGCAAAGGACTGCCATGATAAATGGCCTGATCAAAGTTATTTACTGTAAAATTGAACATTATACTTATTATATACCTAAAGCTGCTGATTGGATTGTACAAGCATGAGTATAAAGCAGTGGTTCTCAACCTTCCTAATGCCGTAACCCTTTAATACAGTTCCTCATGTTGTGGTGACCCCCAACCATAAAATTATTTTCGTTGATACTTCATAACTGTAATTTTGCTACTGTTATGAATCGTAATGTAAATATCTAATATGCAGGATGCATTTTCATTGTTACAAATTGAACATAATTAAAGCATAGTGATTAATCACAAAACCAATATGTAATTATATATGTGTTTTCCGATGGTCTTAGGCGACCCCTGTGAAAGGGTCGTTCGACCCCCAAAGGGGCTGGACCCACAGGTTGAGAACCACTGGTAAAGTATCTAAAAAATATGTGTGTGTTTTTATGGCAAAATTTTCGGTGTGCTCCTTTTTGGAAAGGACATTTCCATCAGTTATAAACTGCTGTTCCAAATTATGTAGTAAGTTAGATCAAGGTCATTACCAACCCAGATGACCAAACCTGAAAAATACTGTTCTCATGTCAGAGACCTTGAAGAAAGAATACTCTAATGGGATTAAAACGTCTTGCAAAGAATTATAACATGAATAGCTCAAGAAATCTTAATTTGTAAAAGGTCACAGTTACAAAAAACATCGCTCATTTCAACTAATTAAATGAAATTTTAGTTAAACGGCACCTTTAAATATTGGTATTGCAGCTGCAAGTGCGTTTAAATAGCATTTACGCAGATATAATTAGCACAATTAAACATGGGTAGAAGTGGAAACACCATTCTTAATTATATTGATATAATCAGTTTTATTAATGCTTTATAGCAACAAAGGTGACATCTGATAGTAGCACACAATTCATGACTAAACCTAATATTAAACATTTTAGCATATTAAGGAATCTAAAGCTAGATAATTGGGGAAAGAAAATCAAATAATGAGTTCCTACCTGTGACGATTCCATAGTTGGGAGGTTCAAGAACTACTCCATAAAACTGGATGATGTTTCTGTGACTGAGGACACTGAGTATTTCTGCCTGTATAAAAATAAAAAATAAATTTTCACATTTATAAAAGTCTAATGAAATAGGTTCCCTACTTAATTTTTTTACATACATTTACAAGATAAGTAAGTATAAGTATATGATGCTGATAAAACTCTTGTGTTAGCAGCATTCTTGAAAGGTTAAGAATTTCTATTGAACCTTTCTGAAAATTTAAAACTGAAATGGTGTTGAAGTGGCAACAAGAGAGGAGCCGACTAGCAAGCCAGTACAACTGATGGTGAAGGAAGATGACTAAAGAGGGAGGTACCATAGGGGACTGTCTTGGGAGGGGGGAAAAAATGGACACATATGTAACACCCTTTGTAATAAAAAAATAAATAAATAAATTAAAAAAAAATAAAGAGGGAGGTACCATATTTATTTGAAGTGAAAGTCCTCTTCCTAATAGTCAAATATATTTCTTCTGCATAATGTCTCTTCTCAGAGGCTGCAGCAAGACTGAACTTCTACCAGTTGGATGAATAGTCATGATAAAATTTAGGTAGAAGTTTTTAACTATTAATGGAACAGATTCAAGTAATATCTATTTATATTATTTATCTAATCATTCACTAAAAATGTTATTTCTGACCCTGGCCGGGTAGCTCAGTTGATGAGAGTTGTCTTCATGCGCCAAGGCTGCAGGTTTGAATCAACCAATCAGTCAACCAATGAATGCATAAAAACAAATGGAACAACAAATCGATGTGTGTGTGATTCTCCCTTTCTTGCTAAAATCATTAAAAAATTTTAAAAATGTTATTTCTCTCCTACTGTATGCAAAGGGTACTATAAAGGCTAGAAAGGTGGATTATTCACTTACAGCTCTGACTTGATAGGGAAGCCATACTTTATACTTTAAAATGGATTAAATACTAGAAAACTGTACTGTGGAGTGACATGGTAAAAAAAAATTATATTTATTAAACTTAATTTCTGAAGTGGAAAAAAAAGAGATAGTAAATTTATATCTGGTGTGTGTGGTATTTAAAAAACACTACTCCATGACCCTGAGCTCTGATGTCCTCACTGATTCCAAGGTTCCATGATTCCATGAGAATATGATAGCAAAAGACAGAAAAGCGGCTCATCCAGTTATTCAGAGGAAGCAGTCTCCTTACTGCACTGCATTCAAGGTCAAAAGCTCTCTCCAAAGAGGATTTCTAAAATATCAATATGATCCAGGGTCAGTCTATTTCCCCCAAATTCAAGAAGCTCTGAGATGATCCCACATTTTACAAAAATAAAAATTATACATATAGAAGAGAGATGGGGAAGAAATTAAACAAAATATTAATTGTGGATATCACTAGGTAAGCAGAAAGATCCAACTGATATTAAAGGTTTGTATATTCCCAAATTCTTTATAATAAGCCTATATAATTTGTAAATCAGAACAAATAACACATGATTATTACAGGTACTATGTATGACTAGAACATATAAATATAAAAATGTTTATTTACACGGAAATTCTGATTTTCCTAGGAGAGAATTAGGAAGAATCAAAACTCTTGCCTTATATTCACAGGACTCCCCTAGGCATATAAAAACTAGTTTAGTCTGGCTGTGGTGGTTCAGTGGATTGAGTGTTGTCCCATGAACCAAGAGGTCCTGGGTTCAATTCCCAGTCAGGACACAGGCTTGGGTTGCGGGCTCGATCCCCAGTAGGGGATGTGCAGGAGGTAGCCGATTCATGATTCTCTCTCATCATGGATGTTTCTATCTCTCTCTCCCACTTCCTTCCTCTCTGAAATCAATAAAAAAGTTTTTTTTTAAAAAAAAGAATGACAGTTGATCAATTATATAACCACAGAAGCTACATTTGAAATTTGTATTTACCAGCTTGCTGCTGATTTAAACTTTCAGAATGAAGACTTTGCCTGCTGCAGGGTCTGCAGTCCATGGCAATTAAACGAGCAGTTTCTTGACAGCCTTTTCTTGTTTTGTTATTTCCCAAGCATGCCCTTGCCGTGGCATTGTACTTTTTCAGATTCAGAATGCAGAAGATTGCTTAGGCTTAACCCTTCCATTTCCAGTTTTCTACCCAATACATTTGATCATTTATTTCCAAAACCACCTCTGCAGGTAAGCCAGCCTTTTGTCAAGTCCACTGTTTCTCTACCCACAGTGGCCGGTGCTCCGCTCCCACACACTGAGAAGGGAGCCCCAATTCTCAGCAGTGGGGCTACATTTCAAGCAGGTTCCCTGCTACAGACTGAACGTGTTCCTCTAAAATTGATATGCTGAAACCTAACCCCCAGTGTGACCAGGTCTTTGGGAGGTGGGTGCCATGAGTGGGGAGCCCCTATGAATGGGATAAGTGCCCTTATAAAAAAGGCCGAGGATTGTTCTCTCACCTCTTCCACCACACGAGGAAACAGCAAAAAGAGAGCCATCTGTGAGCCAGGAAGCAGGTTCTGAGCAGACACCCAATCTGCTAATGCCTTGATCGCAGACTTCCCAGCCTCCAGAACTGTGAGGAGGAATGTTTGTTGTCTACATGCCTCCCTGTCTTCAGTCTTCTGTGAGAACAGTACAAATGGACTAAGACAGTCCTCTTCATAGGACTAGGCTGGCATAAAAGTCCACAGCTACCGAACTAGGCCTCTCATGAACAGAACGGCTTCGAAAAGACAATGCCACTGTACTTCTCAGGACAGCATGCCTCTTGTCTTCGTCACCCCAGAGCCCAGAGCCATTGCACTTAGCAGCAGGATATCAGGGACAAGGGAACTTCTTGATTTAAGGACTCCTAAAACAGTGTTTCAAGTCATAAGACCAAAGCATCTAGCTCTTACAGGCCAAGACGTGGGTAGGACTTCCCCTCCTTTCTGTTTCAGGCACTGATTATAAAGATAACTGAGGCAGAATGCTCAATATGAGGAATTAAAAGATTTATATGCACCAGGTCACACAAACCAGGATCAAAAACAACACAATGCTGTTTAATTAACTGCATTTTCACCCCAAGCGTATCATGGTAGGGGCCTTTTCCTAACAGAAAAACTGGATTCTTACACGTATGACAAGATGGAAAACCAGGCCCTCTCCTCCTAAAAATGCAGCGTACAGGGACAACTTAAAAAGTAGGCTTGGCTTTCAATCCTGTATTTAATCACCAGAGTGCCATGCACAGGTCATGCTCTTTGAGTCACGTTAGGCTTAATGAGACCCATTCACTAACTCAGTCACATGACAAGCAGCAAACCTCACGGTTCTGTAGGTTCTCTTTCAAAAGCTGCCCTGTAGGTATTCAGGGAGATGAAGAAGGACAAATGAATCGAATTCAGGTTCCATAATTTGAAACGGCCTATATTCCTAATGATGTTTCATGTCATGAAAACTTTCTCTGGAAGGAAAATGGCTAGAAATACTAAGAAAAAAATAAGCCAGTCATTCTGTGCACTCCCGGGAACGGCTGAGCAGAGCCCTGTGGGATTTATTACGAACATCCCCACTGCTGGGAAGCCCACAGCCCAGCGGTGTTCCTGGTGGGCTGCAGCAGCCTCGCCGCATGTGGCCACTCGGAGAGCAGGCGGGGCTCCCCTCCAGCAACCAGGCTGCTGCCTAGTTAAGTACACACCCAATTCAGGGCAGACTAACCTGGCAGGATGGGAGGGTGGCTCAAACGGAATGAAACAAATAGCAAAGGTTTAAGAACGGGGATTGAGAGCTATTTCCAAATCATCAAAGGACTAACAGATTTCACAGTCTTCATGCCCACAACAGAATGTCACTGTAATGATAAGAAAAAGTCAAATATATTGTAAACAACTTGTATTTAGTTTGGATGACAGAAGCATGTACCAAACCCCAGATTTCCACTTAACAACCTAGGTAATTTGGTCAAAGAAATAACTTGGTGCTAAAATTACATGGAAAACCTCCCTAAAGGGAGCCTATAAATCAGTCCCGAAGTATGAACTAATGAAGGATTAAGCTTCTAAAAAACTGAATAGCAATAAAATTTAATTAAATACTGACTACATGAGTGGAAATTTAAATTCTAGTTCCAAAATAGATGGCCCTAAAAGCCACCTGGTCACCCCGGACCTTGTTTTCCTAGTAAATGACTTGGTTGGACAAATTATTTTCCAGATTCATTTATGCTTTAAGTTTCTATGCATTTCTGTAAAATAAAAAAAGTATTATTAACAGTTCTTTTCACAGAGTGGGTACTCAATAAATATTGGATAAGCTGAACTGAGATAATTAATCATGATGTATTAGGACAAACAGGCGTGAGCATGATCCTTGGCTCTGTCATTCACACAAGCCAGGTGACTTTGAGGAAGTTATTTAACTTCTGTGGGCCTCAGTCTCCTCATTTGTAAAGTGGGGACAGTAATCCTAGCCCAGTGCCCAGCAAATGCCAGGTGCTCAACTTATGCTAATTCCTTTCTCTGACACCTTACCCTTCCTTTATAGTCAATTTACCATTTGCAGTGAGGTCAAGCTTATGGGCAAATCCAGATCTCCCCTAACAGTGGATTCCACCTTCATTTTAATTAGCTTTGTGTATTTATTATACCTGACCTTCCATGTTTACCTATGTTTTTACCTCAACGTAGCACTTTAACATTCCAAAGCACTTAGTTGACTCTCACAAAGAAGTTATTTTATCATATTTAGATTTTAAAAAACTAGGCTTTTGATTGGATTTGCTCAAGCTCACTTTCCAGCTTAGTATGAATCTAGGTTTCCTACCTCTGACTCTTTTTATATATTTCTCCCCTCTCTCTTTAAAGGAAAAGCCCAATAAAAATGTGAGTCCTTTCATCTACACTTTTTATTTATTAAAAGCTGCTCTTGCTCAAAGAGATTCTAATTTACAGACTCCTCTATAATAACACCTAACATTTACTGAGTGCCTACTATGAGGTAAGCAAAGAACTTTACGAAGATTAAACCTTTAAATCCTCACAGCAAACCATGAACTTGGGCCTACTATTATCTAGGCACAGAGAAATTTAAAAACCTGCCCAAGA